AAAAAAAAGAAAAAAAAAACCAGAAGTGAACTCAATCCGTAAAATAAAAATCAACCAAATCCCATCATAAAAAAAGGAAAAGAAATGGAAATTAGGGGTGAAATTAGGAAATATCCGATTCCTCAAAAAAAGATATGGAAATCAATTATCACCAATTAAAATGTACAAAATCTCATCCTAAAAAAAAGGAGAGAAATTAGGAAATATCCGATTGCTTAAAAAAAATGATTCAAAAATCTATTACGAAATAGTAGGCGGGATTATGAAAATCCTTCAAAAAAATTGATCGAAAATGAAATTAAAGCGGGAAATCGAAGCGGGAAAACCAAATAATTATTTTGGAGTTCTTCAAACATTTTTTCTTAGCCATATTATATAGTAATAGATTTGTTGAAAAAAAAAAAGTTTTGACAATGGCGTGATAAATAAAATGGAAGAATTTAATTAGTTACTACAAGAGGTTTAAATATAATGAAGCTTTAATACAATTTGAAAATGGGAATGCTAGAAACGGTGGGCAAATTAGACCTACTATTTAGTAAAGATTTGGTGGGCAAGGGATAATCGAGTTACCCGAATCGGGTCGATCTCGAGGGAAGGCTATTCGGAGCTTTATCTACTAAATGATCTCGAGGGAAGGCTATTCCGAGCTGTCAAAGGACAATGGAGAACAACTACTTCTCACTTAGGCTGAGTGTGAGGCTAAGTGTGCAAAAGGGAAGAAAGATAGAAATTTCAACAACAAAAAGAGGAGGCTATCACGGAAGAGGTCGAGGACGTGGACGTGGTCAAGATGGAGGTCGAGGAAATAGAAATCGCACTGGTGTTGAGTGGAGAGCTCGAAATTTTGACATTTCCAAGGTAAAAATGTTACAATTGCAATGAATTTGGTCACTTTGCAAAAGATTGTCCAAGACCAAACCAAAGGCACCAAGCCAATCTTATTACAACACAATCAGATGAAGAACCGACACTTCTGATGACAGAAGTTTGCATCCTCTGTCATGAAATACAGAGCAAAAGTTGCTACAACATGAAAACAAGGTGGTGCCAAAGTTGAACGGCAACCAAGACAAGTCATGGTATCTAGATACCGGCGCAAGTAATCACATGACCGATAGTATTGAAAAGTTTGCTGAAATTGATACAGACGATAAAGGGTCGGTCAAGTTTGGAGATGGGTCAACTGTGGAAATACAAGGAAAATGGTCTATTTTATTCGAGTATTTCACTGGTGCACACTGAATATTGACAGATGTATACTATATCCCGATGTTGAGAAGTAACATAATAAGCCTTGGTCAGTTAGATGAAAACAGGTGTAAGATTATGGTTGAAGGAGGGGTGATGTCAATTTTGGATAGAAGTAAAAAATTGTTAATTAAAGTAAGCAGATCAAAGAACTGTTTGTATGTGCTTCACATCACTCCTATACATCCAGAGTGCCTCCTGACTAGAAGCAAAGATGAGGCGTGGTGCTGGCATGCAAGATATGGGCACGTGAATTTTAAGTCCTTGAGGCTTCTAAGTAAAAAACAGATGGTGCATGGCCTGCCCATAATTAAGCATGAGGACCGTCTTTGTGATGGTTGTTTAATCTGAAAACAACATCGAAATCCATTTTCAGCAGTAACGAAATTCCGAGTGAAATCACCCTTTGAGTTGTGGCATGGAGATTTATGTGGGCCAATAACTCCTCCTACAAACGGAGGCAAACGTTATTTTCTAATGTTGGTTGATGATTGTACTAGATTCATGTGGCATGTACTGATTCGAAGCAAAGACGAGGCATTTGAAGCATTTTAGAAGGTCAAAATTGCAGCTGAAATTGAGAAAGACAGTAAGCTCATAGCTTTGCGCACAGACCGAGGCGGAGAATTCACCTCAAATGAGTTCAAGCAATATTGTGAACTGATGGGAATTAAGTGTTATCTAACGACACCATATTCTCCTCAGCAAAATGTAATTGTTGAACGAAGAAATCAAACGGTGGTCGGCATGGCACAAATCTTGTTGAAAAGCATGGAAGTCCCAGGTGAGTTTTGGGGAGAGGCGGTGTCAACGGCTGTGTATCTACTAAATAGAGCACCAACAAAAAGTGTCAGTGGAAAAACTCCTTATGAAGCATATTTTAATCTGAAACCTTCTGTTGAACATCTTCGCATATTTGGATGTGTGGGACACGTAAAAGATACAACACCTCATCTTTCAAAACTTGCAGACCGAAGTAAGAAAATGGTGTTCATTGGTTATGACAAGAATACGAAAGGCTATCGGATGTTTGATCCATTGACAAGACGAGTTGTGGTGTCACGAGATGTAGTGTTTGAGGAAGAGAAGAAGTGGGAGTGGAACAAAGTTCCAGTGACAGAAACACGGGCAGCAGGGAACACACTTTCGCCACAATATTTTACTGTTGAAGGTATGTTTGATACAGAAAAATGGGAAAATGAGCAGAGTATTAGTGATTATGGTATTGACACAGCAAATTCTGGTTCAAACTCACCACGTACTCCAGAAGTTAATGGGGATGAATTTTTCGAATCAGTTCAACCTGAAATGATTGAAGAAAGTTCATCCGTCGGTCCACATGGAAAGCAAGATCTTAAAAGTTTGTATGACAGAACCTTTCCAATTGATTTGGAATATTCGGGGTTGTGTTTGCTAGGAGAGGAGGAGCCGTCGAGCTATGAAGAAGCCAAAATAGATCCGAGTTGAAGAATAGCAATGGAGGAAGAAAAGTCTTCTATCCAGAAAAATGAAACATGGGAACTTGTTTCATTGCCAGACAACCAGAAAGCAATAGGACTGAAATGGGTCTACAAATTGAAGAAAAATCCAGAAGGAAAAATTGTGAAGTGTAAAGCGAGACCGGTAGCTAAGGGGTATGTTCAAAGACAAGGTATAGACTTTGACGAAGTGTTTGCCCCAGTTGCTCGATTGAAAACAATACGGTTGTTGCTCTCAATTGCGGCACATGAAGGTTGGGAAGTGCATCATATGGATGTGAAATCCGCTTTCCTTAACGACGAATTGGAAGAGGATGTATATGTTATCCAGCCACCAGGTTTCGAGATTAAAGAAGAAGAGCATAAGGTGCTGAAATTACACAAAGCTTTATACGGTTTGCGACAAGCACCTAGAGCCTAGAATTCGAAACTGGATAAATCACTTAAGGTACTCGGTTTTGAGAAGTGTTCTTTAGAGCATGCTGTGTATACCAGAAGTCAGGAGAAAAAAAATTTGATTGTTGGAGTATACGTGGATGATTTAATTATAACGGAGAGAGCACTCAAGATATCGACAAATTTAAATCTCAGATGAAAAAGTTGTTGAGCATGAGTGACCTTGGGTTACTTAGTTATTATCTGGGAATTGAATAAAATTACTCTAAATCAGTCAGCTTATGCTAGAAAAGTAATAGATAAGTGTGGGATGAAGGATTGCAATTCCACACATATTCCGATGGAGCCACGTTTGAAGCTGAACAAAGAGAGTACTCACCCTCCAGTTGATAAAACATTGTACCGAAGTGTAGTTGGTAGTTTGAGATACCTATTGCACACGCGACCAGATTTGGCGTTTTTAGTCAGTATGGTGAGTAGACACATGGAGAAGTCCACGACAAAGCATATGTCAGCAGTAAAGCACATATTGCGCTATGTGAAAGGTACTCTAAATCTCGGTTGTGTTAATGAGAAAAATGAAGGAGTTTTGGAGCTGGTCGGATATTCCGACAGTGATCTAGCTGGTGATATCAATGACAGTAAAAGTACTGCTCGGGATTAATATTTTTCCTTGGTTCTAATCCGATTAGTTGGTGTTCACAAAAACAAAAAGTTGTTGCACGTTCTTCTTGTGAAGCTG